GATCTTGTGGCTAACTCCGATATTCTATAGCGCTCCCAGCTGTACTTGCGCATAGCGGCGCGATCCAAGTCCCGGCGATGATCATGTCGATTCTTGGCGGCCTTTTGATTTATGGAACAATTATCAGTTTCTCCATGTTTTTCAAGGAGCAGGAGGAGTTTTGAGTCACCATGGGTTTCAGCTAGTTAGGGTGAAGTCACTCAGATGCGCTTGGTCGCATCTGATTTGCCAATTTACCAGACCTACGAATGCTACCTCCTATTCACCGGGCCATGGGTTCCTTTATGAAACACCCCTTTGTTTTGACGTATGGTGAGAGTCCTTCATGTGAAATTTGCCGCGAATTTCAGCCTCTAGTTTACTTTTATTCTGATTGAATGATATGATTGATGTACTATAGCTGCTATGAGGTTATCTAGAGGTTTCAAGGGAGACCGTGGAGGTTTTGAGGTCCCTTACGGAGAGCATCCTAATAGGTGCCGTAAGCTACTACTCTGTATATGTAAATGCTTAACATGCCTGGCAAGCGATGTATCACGTGATCACGTGCAGCTTTTTCAAGGCGCGTCGTGTAATTTACAATATAGCAGTCGAAGAAACGCTTGCTACTTAAGCTGGCCGAACTGCACCCCCCCTTTTTTTTAGAGATTCGGTATATTTATAAGATGTGAATTTTGAACTAGGAGTGTATATCTAAAATGAGCATCTGGTCTGGTGGTATCGTACTGGATGGACAATCTCAACTTCGAGGTGAGGCGGTCGATCAATCTCGGTCTACCAGCTACTAAGATCTATACAGGCCTGCAACTAATTGACAGATCCTCGAATTGGCACTCTGATATACCAAGGGACTCAATACTAAGTCTTCGTTGCTTTGTGAACCCAGCTTTAATACCATTATATGCCCGCGTTGGCCCAAACCTCGAATTGCATACAAATAATACGGAAACATCGCAATGGCTCAAAACCAAATTACTTGGGGGGGTTTGGCTCGAAGAGGAGGACATGGATACGATTCAGACAGTTCAGTGCCCGGTCAGCCTTCTTGTGAGTGTCGATAGCACGATACGAACAAAGACAGGATCAACCACCACAGACATAATAGTGTACGGCGCCCTGTCGAGCGCAACGTCACTCAAACGTCCTCCGACTCCTCCCGTGTCCTCTTCGGCAAGCTCTGATGAAACTGCTCTGCGAGCTATCAGACAAGAACTGAGAATATATGCCATCCCCATCTCCTCATCCCTTATCAACAGAACGCGTGCACTCCCAACATCGCAAAATACGAGTGAACTTCTTGGACATGAAACACTTGGAGAATTCCTTCCAGACATTCGTTCTCCGAGCCCCAAGCGTAAGCGGGTGGCGACATTGTTTGAATCGGTTACACAACATCATAAGAGGGTGTGTCAGAAGGGAGGGGAGGGTGTGTCTCAGTTGATGGCGCACTCGCAATTCCAGTCATCACACCAGTCACAGACTCTCCGCATCAAGCGGGAGTCTGAGGAACCCAGTCTTCCCTTATTAGACCGGATTGCATCACAACGCTCAAGATCTCTCTCCGTTGGGGCGAACCTGCACCCTAGCAAACCTTCCGAGTTTCGTACGGAGCCTCCTAGGCCCGGCAGTAATCGGGGGCATCCGCGTGAGTTAATCAAGAGGAATACGCCCAATCCCTTCATCGAATCCTCTTTACGAAAAGAGAGAGAACCTTCACCGGCGTTGCCATCATCTGATGGAAGGCTTGAGCTTTCATCTGCGCCCAAGGATGCCGAAGACGTCATTCTCGAAAACAAGAACACAATCTCTCGTACGATATTAACGTGCATGCGGCTATATGGCTTCAACCGCTCGACGCGGTCTGGGTCTTCGGGCAAGAACCCGAATAGTCACGATACGCTTCCCTCCCAAAATGAAGAAAAGGATCATCGCATTGCTGCTGCTGCTGCTGCTGCCGCACCTCTGGCCACGCCAACCCCAAGCACGGATGAAGATGAGTTTAAGGCGATGTATCATGCGACTTATCGTGCATCCACCTTCGCTCTACGGAAGTATCTGAAAGAAACGTCTGTCAGTCAAGGCAGCTCGAAATATTTGCCGCCTTTGCTGGAAAAAGGAAAGGCAATGACGTATATTGATGAGTTCTTGAGATTATTCTGTGAGGAAAACTGAGCCTGTCTGGTACGGCTGAACGAGACATGACGTTACGATGTATATAATCCTATCCACCTAGACAAACAGCAATATGAGTAATTAAGAGAGCTGTTGGTCATCAGATACTGCATTGCCTCCGCATTCAAGCAACGAACAAAACCACCATGACATATGAGTATTTGAACTCTGTAAACACTAAGAAAGTTCATACAGTACATGGCTTTAGCAAGATAGGCTATGACGGTATCGGCTTTGTGATTTTCCGACCGCCGAAGTGCATCATCGCCGACCTTCCCGATAGCTACAGAAGATCCGAACTCCATCCGCATATCAAGTTTACCTCTGTTGGTTTACAAAACAGCTTACACTTTATTAGAACCTTATACCGTTACGCCATGGATGTCTCCAACAACCGTCTTTTCCGGTTCTCTAAGCCGGAATGGTTAAACAACAATACCGTCCGCAACGCAGGCGTCTACACATCGGGAGCGTTGGTGAGCTTATCCACCCGTCCTATGTCAAGGTGCAATCGCACTGACGAAGTCTACCAAAGTTTTCTCTCGGCTTTTTCTTCTTAGTTGATGCAGCTGCGTTCTCTCATAGCTCACGAAATGGGTCAAATGTGCATGTCAAATTTGTCGACTGGATCCCCGGCATTTGCTCTGCGCTCGGAATGCTTGTTATTAACTCAATCGAGAAGTCGCGGCTGCACGCAGATAGCTGGAGCTACAGTGGAAGCGGTGTTGCGTGGAAAGCGCGGTTTGTACTTTTCCTTGGGTTTGCACTCTTGGCTGGCGGTTTGGCAGGCAGTGTGGTTAGTATCCCTTCGCAGATGTCCCCAGGATGATGCTGCGTATGCGCAAAATGCATACGTCCTCTGTCGTGAAGGCCTAATGATAGCTAACAATTTCGACAGACGGTCATGGTCCTTAAATACCTCATTAAACAATACCCACTGCAAACGTTATACTTTGGAATCGCCAATGTCGTTGCGAATGGACTCGTCATGCTGAGGTATGCGCTTCATATCTGCTATTAATGGAACGGGTTACTGACTTCTTTGCTCGGCAGCACAATTGTTCTCTGGATTTCACAGAACATAGAAGACGATTACACCTACAACCTTGCGTTGTAATAACTGATGGAGTGTGGCACGCATTTTGGGATTTTATCATGATTAGCTGCTTTTATCTTTCCCCATTTATTCTTTCGAGTGGCTGGCGTAGTCGCGATTCATATGCGTCTAACCTTATGTTATGATTATGTTCGTGGGATGCCTATATGGCCAATTACACATTTTCCATTCCCTTAGGTCTACTACTCAAGTTGACCGCATACATATGAGGCCCGGGCCCTCGCCAAGAGACAATGAAGCAGAAACGGATGTCGTAGTACATTCAGGCAACAACATATTCTGACTCTGTAGATGCATATGCCGTTTGGCCAACGGCTTACGCATAACAAGTTAAATGTTACATAAAGCGGTCGCAATTACTTCAGCTAGCCGTAAAGAGTTTTATTATTTATATATGCCCTTGTAATATGCGGTTCCATTGAAGCACACAGTCTTCCCGCACCCATGCGTAACCTAAGCCAAGTCTGGCTACGAATACATGAAACACGATCCCAGCCCGTACAAACGTAGCCTTGAAGTGAAGAGACGGGATATTATTCCCAGAAATAGATCGATGGGAGCCTATCACGGCAACCCGGCATTCGTCGTCGTGATTTCAGGTCAGCATCCTCGACAGGAAGTCACCAAATGAGTGACAGCAATCGCAGTGGATAAAGCAACTGTCTTGGAGTGAGCCCATACAACCGCACGTGCGAGTAACCTCGCCGCGTCAGTAGTAAAAACGCGCCAGAGCAAGGCATTGGACATTCAAACAACCGTATGCACGAATGAGCCCTAAGCAGACGAAGGAACGGGGTGCGCCCGCAATCTATCCATGATGGCATCCACAGCCTCCATGTCTCCAGCATCGACCTTCTCCCCCTGGGGATATCCCTCAGGCAGGTGCTTTACCAACTCATCCATAGCAGGCTGGTAGTTGCGTACAGCCGACGAGAGAGCGAACACAGCCTTCTTCCGCGTAGCGGGGTTCGAATCCGTAGTCGACATAGTGACCAGCTTAGGGACAGCGTTGAAGACGACAAGCTTATCCTGGGCCTTCTCGTTATTCTGCACGGCGGTTCCGATACACCACGCAGCCATGCGTCTCATCTCTGCTTCCTCGTGCTGAAGGAGTTCAACCAGCGGCGTCCACAGGCCGAGGGGCTCGAGGTTGTTTGCGTTATCTATAGACTCGATGAGCTGTTCGAAGTTGTCGAATGCGATCAGTTTGTTCTCGAGGTCAACTTCATCGGAGTGCAGTGCTTCCATAGCGGCTTTCATTAGGTCGGCGTCGGAGGGACCGCCGAAGAGAGCTGAGAGCATCTCCGGGGTGAGACCGCGGGCAGTGGAATCAGCAGCATTGTTGGAGGCATTGGGGTTGTCGGATTGTTGAGTAGTGGAGTTTTGGATACTCCATTTGAGGAGGTTGTTCATGTTTGCGTCCATACTGGTCAGGTTCTTCCTCGATTAGATTTTAGGGGGGGTTTTTTTTTCAAAAAAAAA